GCGGATATCAATGTCTACAAAGAAAATTATGGGAGCTCGCATTTCACGCTCAAGCGGTGCTTTCCCCGCTCGAGCGGACGTGCCAAATTTTGGGTTTTACAGAACTGTTCTTCAAGTTCAAACTCGACCTCCAAAGGTCCAAAACTCATAATTTTGGTTCAAAACATGCAAATACATTATATATCATGAGTATACAAGCAATATGAGGCCAATTACTCAAAATCATGGTCATATTCTCAATTTATTCAACACTTCTTTTGTATAATCAAAACTCATGCATTCAAACCTCATATAAGCTCCATATCTCCAATAATCAAACATGCATGTCAATTTTTGACTTCAATTCCATTTCAAATAGCACCAATGATGCTCATAACCACGAAAATCAACAAAACTATGCTTGCATGTATGCTTTAATACTCATTTTCCCATATTCGACTTGATACATGCTTGATTATGCAAAATCATGGTAATTCTATACATGCATGTACATATAAGCTTTAAATTCTTCAATTTCATCTCAATTTATGTTCTTGATTACCCAACTAGTTTGAATACACAAATTTACAAACTTATACTCATGAATTTATGCTCAAATGCTCACCTAGAGGTTCAATCTTTCAAATAGTAGTAATTTCTTGAGCCTAGCCCTTCAAAGCTTGAGCTCCTTAGCTAGATCTTCAAGATTGGCCCTTCTCTCTCTCTAATTTTGGTTCTCTCTCTCTCTCTCTAGAGAGCAAATTCAGATTCTTTGAACTCAAAAGACTGAGCTTAAGTGTAGTTGGGTTCTTTATATATGCTTCTTTAATAAAATTTGATCATAGCTAATTAATAGCACTTAATTAATCGTTCTGAATCTAATTATTTTGACCCGAATCAATTTTCAATCAAATTTCGCTGTAGGCTCTAAAAATTACGCTAATCACAATGGCATAAACAATTTTAGCTTCTGTGGCCGATAAGGCCTTCCATTAAATTCTAGAGCAGTTTAAATCAAACAGATTTTTCTACGATGAACAGATAGAAATTCAAAATCACATATATTCACATAAACGGCATTCAAAATCATATCAAACACATAATCACAATCACAATGATTAATTAGCATAATATGGACCAGGGTTATCACAGTCTTTGCCCATTTAGGAAGTTTGGTCCTCCAAACTTATTTTACCTTCGTCGAGAAACAAATGTGGATAGCGTAGTCGCATTTCATCCTCTTTTTCCCATGTAGCGTCTGTCCCATAGTGTTTTTTCCATTACACTTTCACCATCAGGATGGACTTGTTTCTTAACTGTTTCACTTGTCGATCAATGATTAGTTCCGGTCATTCTGCGTACTCCATATTTTCATCAAGAGCTATCCGGTGATAATCAATCACATGAAACGGGTCTCGAAGATAACCCCTCAACATTGATACATGAAACACATTATGGATTTGTTCGAATCCCGGTGGCAAAGTGACTCGATAAGCAACTGGACCAAGCTTTTCCAGAATTTGAAACGACCCAATGTAACGGGGCGACAACTTATCCTTCTTTCCAAACCTGACTTGGCTTTTCATCGGAGTCACACAGATAAATACATGGTCACCAACCTCATACTCGAGAGGTCTTCTTCGAACATCTGCATAATTCTTTTGTTGGTCTTGAGCTGTTTTGAGCCTTTGCTGAATGGTTTTGATCTTCTCAGAAGTGTCTTGCACAATTTCCGGCCCGAGTAATGCTCTATCCCCGACTTCTGTCCAACAAATTGGTGATCTACACCTTCTACCATACAACGCCTCGTATGGTGCCATACCGATGCTAGAGTGGAAGCTATTATTGTATGCAAACTCTGCTAGTGGCAAATGGTCTTCCCAACTCCCCTGAAAATCTAAGGTACACATTCTCAGCATATCCTCTAGTGCCTGTATAGTCCGTTCTGATTTCCCATCTGTCAGTGGGTGGAATGCGGTACTAAACCTCAGTTCTATCCCCATAGCTTTCTACAAACTTTTTCATAATCTAGATACAAATTTCGGATCTCTATCCAATACAATAGATACCGAAACTCCGTGTAAACGGACAATCTCGTCAACATATATAGTAGCCAGTCTATAAGCATCAAATATAGTTCTAACAGGTAGAAAATGTACAGATTTAGTCAGTCTATCAATTACAACCCAAATAGAATCCATACCTCGAGGAGTCCGAGGTAGACCAACAACAAAATCCATGGTCACATGCTCCCATTTCCATTCAGGAATAGGGAGAGGTTGAAGTAGACCGCCCGGTTTCTGGTGTTCAGCTTTTACTTGCTGACATTGAAGACATTTGGACACATACTCTGCAATTTCCTTCTTCATTTTAGGCCACCAATAGCTTTGTTTCAAATCCCGATACATTTTGTTATTGCCCGAATGCATAGCGAATACTGACCTATGGGCTTCATCTAGAGCTCTTTTCTTTAGTTCCGGAATATCTGGGATACACATTTGGTTCCAAAATCTCAACACTTCGCTTTCAATTTTGAAGTCCACTTTCGGACTTGTCTCAAATTCATCAATCACTTTCTTGAGGAATTCATCCTCTTTTTGTTTCTGTTTAATCTCATCAATGATTGCCAGTTCGACTAAAATAGCGGCTATCAATCCGCCATATTCACACAATACCACTTCAATTTCAGACTTCTCAAAATCTTGTAAGATCTCTTTGTGTTCGGTAAGCAAAGAAGCCATACTCCCTACCGACTTTCTGCTTAGGGCATCAGCAACTGTATTAGCTTTCCCGGGGTGATATTGGATTTCAATATCATAATCCTTTATCAGTTCAAGCCTTCTCCTCTGCTGCATATTTAGCTCTTTTTATGTAAAGAAGTATTTCAGACTCTTGTGATCTGTGTAGACTTTACATTTTGCCCAATACAAATAGTGCCGCCAGATTTTCAAAGCAAAAACAACTGCGGGCAATTCTAAATCATGTGTTGGATAGTTCTTCTCATGTGGCCTCAACTGCCGAGAGGCGTAGGCAATTGCCCTTCCGTTCTGCATTAGTACACAACCCAAACCTTTATAAGATGCATCACTGAAAATTACAAAGTTTTTTGTACCTGTGGGCAATGTCAATACTGGTGCAGTGGTCAGTCTTGTTTTCAGTTCATGAAAGACAGATTCTCTTTCGTCATTCCATTCAAATGGTTGCCCTTTGCGTGTCAGTTGGGTAAGAGGTACAGTTATCCTTGAAAAGTCTTTCACAAACCTCCTGTAATACCCGGCTAAGCCCATGAAACTGCGGACCTCTGTTACATTTGTCGATGTAGGCCAATTCATAATTGCCTCTATTGTCTGTGGGTCTACTGAAATCCCCTCTTTGTTGATAACATGCCCTAAGAAAATAACTTCATCCAACCAAAACTCACACTTCTTTAGTGTAGCAAATAATTTCTTTTCTCTAAGTGTTTGCAAGACAGTTCTCAAATGATGTTCATGTTCAAGTCTATTCTTGGAGTATATCAAAATGTCATCAATAAAAACCACAACAAATTCGTCAATGTAGGTTTTAAAAATTCGGTTCATTAAGTCCATAAACGCTGTCGGAGCATTAGTCACTCCAAATGGCATAACAAGAAATTCAAAATGGCTTGAATGTGATTTTCTCAACATCTTCTGCCTTTACTTTCAACTGGTGGTACCTGGATCTCAAATCAATTTTGGAAAGCACTTGTGATCCCTGCAACTGGTCAAACATGTCATCAATACGGGGTAAGGGATATTTATTCTTTATTGTTACCTTGTTCAATTCTCGATAGTTGATCTACAAACGCAAGGTTCCATCTTTCTTTTTCAGAAACAACACTGGTGCACCCCATGGTGAAGTACTAGGTCGGATAAACCCTTTATCAAACAGATCTTGCAACTGTTCTTTCAATTCTTTCATTTCAGTTGCAGCCATTCTATAGGGAGTTTTAGAAATAGGCTGGGTGCCTGATATAATTTCAATAGTAAACTCTATCTCCCTATCCACCAATTCCCCTGGTAATTCATTTAGAAACACATCTGGAAATTCTCTAACAATAGGGATACTGTTCAATTTAACATTCACAGATTGTTCAGATAGCACACAACACAAATAACCCTGGCACCCTTTCCTGATTAATTTACATGCTTTCATTGCAGATATCAAATAAGGTGGAGGCACTACCCCGTTACCCACAAACACAATTTCTTCCTGTTCCGGTGGTTTAAACACAACCCATTTTGTTATATAGTCAATGGTGGCACAATATTTAGTTAACCAATCCATGCCAAGAATTACATCAAAGTGCCTAAAATTCAAGGGCAACAAATCCACATACATAATAGCATTCCCAATTCGCATGTCACAAAAACGATATATAGATTCACACAATACAGATTCCCCGGATAGAGCAAATACACATAGCAGATATGGCAATAACTCTAGAGATCTACTCAGTCTAGATGCAAATGCACACGTTACGAAAGAATGCGTTAATCTGGAGTCAATTAACACAAAAGCATCCTGATTACATATAGAAATAGTACCTGAGACAACTGCGTTAGCATTCCGTGTATCGCCCGGAATAAGTGCGAAAACTCTTCCTTGCCTCACGGTATCCCCGGTGGTAGTAGATCTCATAGTATTTCTCGGCTTCGGGATTGATGCAGTTGAGCTAGCAGCTAGCTTCCCACTGTTCTGATTACAATCTCTGGCCATATGCCCTTGTTTACCACATTTAAAATAGGCTCCTAACACAAGATAACAAACCCTACGATGCCTTTTACTACAAATATTGCACATAGGAGATGTATCTCGGGAAGAATTCGAAGTACTTGAGGAGCCCGTGTTTTGCTAAGAAAAACTTTCAAAAATTCTTATTCATGGCCTTTTAAAGGCATATAATTCCAATTATGCAGTTCCCAAGTGATCTCACAACACTTACTCTCATTAGTTATGTACTTCCTCAAAATTCTAAATTCCAACTTCTTTTGTAAGTCGGATTTTTTTTTTTGGTCAGCCTCTGGTAAGTCTATGATTGCACATCACCAAATGTCCAAATCATCGCTTGTCCCTTTCCTTTCTAAAATCTTTCTAGCCACAAACCAAAACATGTCCTTTGCAACGGAACTATATGAGGGCTAGTGTTAGACAAAAAGAATTTTGAGGGTGTTAACCATTTCTTGAAAAGTTCAATCATTTGGCCTGTCCACAAATAAATGCACTAGTGGATGACAAAATCAGCATTCGTAACTGAGCTCTATAAGGCTAGATCATAATATGAAATAATAAGGAAAGAAAAGTAAATGGAAATGTTATTTTTACTATACTTTTACACTACAGCACAGTAACCGCATTCCCAAGGGAAAACTTCGAAGGACTTGGGATATATACTATACTTTCTCTCTCAACTGTCACTCTCTGGTCACAGGGACTGCCTCACCCCTCACCAGTTCGTTTCCCAGAACTCCCCCATCACCTGGCATGTTATACCCCTTCCCTTATCAAGGATATGATCCTTGTCTACACCAAGCCAAATGAAAGCTAGGTTGATTCATTTTACAGCCCTAGGCATGAACAACTTGTTACTAAAATTGCCAAACATGGCACATCATCCTCATTACACACACAAATCAAAGGAGATGGATTAAAAATTAGCCATTCAATGGAGAAGGACCAATGGCAACTACATTAGTTGCTACTAGAAGCCACTCATTATATTGCACATAATGCATCAGCAGGCTCAAATTTTCCTGCTAATTACATGGTCAAATAAGTATAATACCACAAACCCAAGGCAGAAAAAAAGGTCAGAAATACTGCAAAAGGAGATTAAAAAAAACAGTAATAAATCAGGCAGGTTTAAAAACAATAACTTCAGCCTTAATACCCATCCATTACAATATATCAACACCTCATTCATCACATCACAATCCGGTCATTTTCATCTAAACTGGGTGTAAAAAATGTCCCATCAAAACACTGCATGTGACCTTTATAGAGCAGCAAAAGATTATTTCAAAGCCCAAATATTAAAAAAAAATAATACAACAATGCATAAAAAAGTTTAAACAATTGGTGGAGAAGGCGTAAAAAAATTAACCATGAGACGAAGGGCTGAAAAGATAATAAAATGAAGGAAATACCTTATCCCACTGCTGCTCCTTCATATTCCATGAATATGCTACACCATTGTCCCCTTCTCTTACAACCTTTGTCTGGCCATCTCTTGTTCCTGATCAACAGACCATCAAAATTTATTATTATTTATATGTAAAACAGCTTTTCTACAACCTCTTTGACCACCAAACATCCTCAAATTATGGGAACGGTTAGCATCTGTCAAATTATATGTTCTGTGTTTCATCAACTGTTTTCTATTGACATACGAGTAATAACAAATCAATATAAATACAACGCAAATTTGATACAAAATTTACAAATACAGTTCAAATCAAAGAAACTAGTCTTCCTCCACACAAAATATATGTCCACCCAACTACTGTGGCATCATCTATCAAACATCAGAATGTTCTTAGACAACAGAACTGTTATAAAATTAATGAAATGTTTCTTGCTATGCACATAAGTAGGATCGAACCTGGAACCTATAAAGCCTCTAGCCCTGGTAATTCTTCCAATTTCAATCCTCCAACCCTCTTCCTAGTACAAACAACAGGATACAACACATATATTAGTCAAAGCTTACAAGTTATAGAGGCCCTGCCATCGAACTGTTTTCGTGGTTTACTAGCAATAAAAACGCTATATACCACATCACTCAGACTATAGAGTAACTCAAAAACCATAACACAATGAACATCCAGGTATTAAAAAAATGAATTTGAAAGAAAGAAAAAATAAAGATAACCCGAAATATAAGGTAACTACTACCCAAGGATGATGATTTAGTTTTCAATAAGTGTTTAATGGCAACATGCATAGAGCCTATGTTACAACAGATAATTAGTTTGACGCTCTTTATATAAGCAATTGATCAATGTTCTACCTGCTACACTTGTAATAAGAAAGTTGAGAAGCAAAGGATTCAAGCTCGGACGAGTTAGCAATCTTATCCTGATGTATTGTCCAAATACGCACAACTCCATCAGAACATGCAGTCACAATATCACCATTCTCCAAGAATTTGACATCCCAAACACAACCAGGATGCTCTCTACTTTGGACACAAACTCCATCTGCAACACAAAACCATTTCTCAGGTAAAAAAACAACATTAAATGAATAAATCTGAAGATTTAAAATGAGAAAAGAAAAGCATAACACGAATGCTAGTAACCAGTGATTATTTCAAACACACAGTTTTCGTTTTCGAAGTATTACTATATTAAAAGATGAAAGGAGCTGCTCACTTCAAATAAATTTGTGGTTATAAACTTAATTCTCGTAACCAGCGATCAATATAACAATAAAAAACATAGTTTTAGGTACTCCATCTACTACAGAACAAGTGTACAACTATAATACAAAAAGGAGGGAACTGCTACCTCCTTGTGAGTCTTATTCTTCACCAAAAAATTGTTTTTCATTCTATCCAAACCTTTTGAAGAAATAACTATATAACAACAACCTCAAATTTGCCCGCCATTATGTTAGGGACACTGATTGCGGCCGCCTCCTCTGCATCATCTTTTGACTTCTTTACAATTACAACATGAGCTCATTCTACACACACACACACACACACACACGCATGTTATGTGGTTAGTCTACCTTTAACCCTTCACTTGCTACAATACCTTTAACCCTTCACTTTCCACGATGCCTGCTATGCCCTGAGCAGACCCAACCCACACCAGATTCCATCACAGTAGCAGCAAGCATAACTAATATTAGACTCAGATATTAGCACAAAAACACCCAAATTCATCATAGCAGCACAACACAAAACCAGCATCAGCTAAGCAAAACAGTCCCACTGGACCATTGTTTATGTTAGACACCATACCAATTCTGCTATTGGCTGAGCAGACCAACCACTAGCAAAACAAAACACCCAACCCACACCAGCAAGCATAATTATCAGCAAGCATAACTATCAGCTAAGTATATCATATCAGCAGACCAAAACAGGACCACAACAGAACCAAAACCAAAACCAAAACCAAAACCAAAACCAATTCAGCAGACCAGTAAGACCAACAAAGCAGACAGCAGCTAAACATATCAGTTCAACAGCATAGCATACCATCTGAGTATAACATATCAACAGACCAACAAAGAATACCAATTAATAGAGAGAACAATGATAGGCAGACCAACAATTTATAGGCAGACCAGCAAAGTAACACCCTCAGTCAGATCAGCAGAGCAAAGAGACAGAGCAATCAATAAGACAGAAAAACCGAGAACAGAAGAATAGTAATAATCAGAATGTTGTATACCATACAGATCAGTCCATTTTGTATACCAGATAATCATAAAATAAATAGATAGAGCAATCAGAAATAACAGACCAGACATAATCAACTGAAATCACTACCAATTCTGATGCAGAACAAATAAGACTCCACCAAATAAACTCCCAAAACAGATACACACTCAACCACCAATCCTCAGGCAAAACTTGACCTGATGTAACAGACCAGCAACATGCATTAAAGGCCCATAAAGATTATAAATAAGGGTATGGTCTCACAAAACTCAACCCTCAAACACTCCCAACTCAGAATTGAATGACAGGTAAAGATAATAAACCTGTACAGCAGAGATTATAAATAAGGGTACTCACTTCACTCAACCCTCTCTTTGTATTAAATTCTTTCTTAGTTTCTTGTTTCCTTTTCTTGGTTTTCTTGTTTTGAATGATTTTCAGCTCTGTTTCCAATCCTTAGTACAACATGAGCAACACCGCAAGACCAATAATGAAAGTCACTTTTCATTTGGCTTATGACAGAGATTAAGCAAATCCCAATCTCCTTGTTAATTTCTCCGATCCGATTTTGTGCATGTAAAAGAACTGTATAATTAATAATGAAAAAGGTGTTGTGTGTGATTTTTAAGCTCAACATCTACTTATCTTTTTCCATTTCAATCTCTTTTTTTTTTTCCCTCTTTGTGAAGTTAATGTTTTTCCATAGTTTTTATTCATCAAGAAATCAATGGATGTGATTAACCCTTTTCTTGGTAATTTTTACTAATGATAAAATTGTTATTACTTGAATTCTAACAAAATACAAACTTGAAAGAACCAAAACCAAAACCAAAACCAAAACCAAAACCAATTCAGCAGACCAGTAAGACCAACAAAGCAGACAGCAGCTAAACATATCAGTTCAACAGCATTGCATACCATCTGAGTATAACATATCAACAGACCAACAAAGAATAACAATTAATAGAGAGAACAATGATAGGCAGACCAACAATTTATAGGCAGACCAGCAAAGTAACACCCTCAGATCAGCAGAGCAAAGAGACAGAGCAATCAATAAGACAGAAAAACCGAGAACAGAAGAATAGTAATAATCAGAATGTTGTATACCATACAGATCAGTCCATTTTGTATACCAGATAATCATAAAATAAATAGATAGAGCAATCAGAAATAACAGACCAGACAGAATCAACTGAAATCACTACCAATTCTGATGCAGAACAAATAAAACTCCACCAAATAAACTCCCAAAACAGATACACACTCAACCACCAATCCTCAGGCAAAACTTGACCTGCTGTAACAGACCAGCAACATGCATTAAAGGCCCATAAAGATTATAAATAAGGGTATGGTCTCACAAAACTCAACCCTCAGACACTCCCAACTCAGAATTGAATGACAGGTAATGATTATAAACCTGTACAGCAGAGATTATAAATAAGGGTACTCACTTCACTCAACCCTCTCTTTGTATTAAATTCTTTCTTAGTTTCTTGTTTCCTTTTCTTGGTTTTCTTGCTTTGAATGATTTTCAGCTCTGTTTCCAATCCTTAGTACAACATGAGCAACACCGCAAGACCAATAATGAAAGTCACTTTTCATTTGGCTTATGACAAAGATTAAGCAAATCCCAATCTCCTTGTTAATTTCTCCAATCCGATTTTGTGCATGTAAAAGAACTGTATAATTAATAATGAAAAATGTGTTGTGTGTGATTTTTAAGCTCAACATCTACTTATCTTTTTCCATTTCAATCTCTTTTTTTTTTTACCCTCTTTGTGAAGATATTCAGTGTGTTTGGTTTGAGTTTTCTGGATTAAATTTTATGAAAACTGAGTTTTTTGGTTTTCATATTCTTTTGTTTTTAGTGAATATTTTTAAAATTTTAAACATTTTTTTTACTTTTTTAGATGCACTTTAGTTAGATATATCTAAAAAGTAAAAAATTTGTGAAAAAATATTTTAAAAAATTAATAAATACATAGAAATACAAAAAATATACTGAATTCTTGTATTTTTTTTGTATTTTTGGTATTTAGTGAATTTTTAAGAGATTTTTTTTACAATTTTTTTACTTTTTAGGTGTATTTATGTTAGGTGTGTCTAAAAAGTAAAAAAATTGCTTAAAATATTAAAAAAATTTAGTAAAAACAAAAAAACACGGAAAATAAGAAAGTAAAATTTTCTGAAAAGTGTTTTACGAAAAGAGAAAATAAGCAAGCTTATTGTTTTTCCATAGTTTTCATTCATCAAGAAATCAATGGACGTGATTAACCCTTCTGTTGGTAATTTTTACTAATTATGATAAAATTGTTATTACTTGAATTCTAACAAAATACAAACTTGAATGCTAAATAAAAATGGGTTCTAAGGGTAGGATAAGGTATGCCAAATCTGAATGTCAACCATATTTATGTAACTACCAGCAAGTTTAGGAGGTCAGATCAGCAAGACAATTGAAGGACACAAGCTCTGTATGGCTGTAGCCATATCCACAACATGGGCAGTTGGCTAAAGCATTACAAGTCAAGGTAGAGCTGCAGCAAAGGCCACAGCCATGGCCACAGCTCAAAACAACAGAACAGCTGCAGCAGTTGCAGCCACAGCTCAGTCCAACAGAGCAATTGCATCAGATTGCAAATACATTCAAGTTCTTCTCTGATTTTCTTTAATTTTAACATGAGGAGCAAGTGTAAAGCAACAGCCAGCAATCTTTCAATTGAATTGAATGAAATCACAAGCTTTAATAACATATGGCTTCAACCAATGAAACAAAAAAGGAAAATAGTAAGTAAAACTTATAGGAAAATGTAGACCAGTTTAAGCATTCTTAAGGAGAACTATGTCCATGTGCATTTGTTTTTACATAAAGGTGCCTATGCGTGTCTCAAGGTGAACTTTCTGCATGTGTGCAACACTAGAAATCATACCTTCTGCAAGCTATCACCACTACCAAATGGAGAGTTCAAAGGAGAACTTCTTTGAGTGTATGTTCGGGGACTATTAGCTTCAGATGGAATACCATCACTCCTTGATTCTGTTCTCCACTTTCGTTGATGGCCACTTAATGCTTTTAAACCAATAAACCATTGCCCAGCTTCATCTTTATCTTTACAAATCTGGAATGAAAGTCATTTACCAAATTACAAACAGAGTAAAATATATATCTATTTGGAAACAACTCTAAAATAGCATGAGGGAATTGGTATTTTAGGAATATCGTTGCAGCAACTGAAAATTAAGAAGGAAATGGATATGCCAAATGAGATGCTTACCGAATCCAGTGACCTGTCGTTATATATAAGAGAGAAGGACTGGCACTCCTTCTTAGGCCGTGGATACCTTTGAAAGATCGGCTGAAAAATATTATACGATGAAATGAAATTTTAGGGCCTTAATTTAGTCAGTCCATATCAGGAAGATTTTATGTTTTATTAGAAGTGCTGAAACTAAGTCTACAAAAACTAGCTGGCAATACAAGGGCAAAAAGGTCAGTCAAGAACACAAAAATTCTAACAAAATTCACCATCTCCAGGTCTGTTGCTTCCATCAACACCACAACAGAGAGCTTTTAGATTAGCCTCAGCAAATGAATGGTTTAATAAATTGACAAACTGGAAAGTGTTGGGAGATACAACTCTACAAGCAAAATAGAGATCATGCATGTAGCAACTTCATCTTCAGGACGAAATATTTTGCATACCACAATATAAAGGACAAGTATCCTGGAACAATGATTATCAAATGACTACTTTATGGCGGTCAGTGTTTTCTTTTACACTGATTAACAATAAAGAAACAAATGGCTATTTCATGGTAAAAGCTCAGGATGTCAAGCTTGAGAACAGGTTTGAGTCAAGGGAAGCCACTTCATGTGAATAAAACCAGAAAGTAGGTTTGTACCCAGTATTAATTTTGAGTATTAAAATGAAATGACACGAAACACCCCTACATTGGGATCAATAGAGAAAATTACAGAAAACACAAGAATTTCAGAAATGACACAAAAGAATATGAAATAAATAATCACAATGAAACATCTGTTTAACCAATTTAGGAGTTTATTCTAAACTGTAAAGAATATCATAGATTGTTAAACTAAGATTGAATCAGCCAAAATTTCCATTAGACATTACAACTCAAAGTTGACATTTCATTTCAAAAACCTTAACGCTGTATTTGGTTGAAAATTTGGAAAGGGATTTGGAAAGGAGGGAAAAAAAAAACCCTAAAAATGAAAGATGATGTTATGCGATTTGAAGATGATGTTACCTGAATGAAAGATGAAACAAAAACCCCAAAAATGTAGACAGATATAGGTGTATGTATGTATGTATAGAGAGAAGAGAAGAGAAAAACAGAGAAGGGAAGGGAGAAGGGGGATATATATATATATATATTGAGAGAGAGAGAGAGAGGGAGAGCGAGACGAAACAAGGGTTTACGAAGAAGGAAGAGAAGAGAGAATGCCTTACCAGCGTGTGGCTTTGAAGAACCTCGAAAGGGCCTACGCAAATAGAACAGATGAACAATCAGAAATTGAAGCCAAGTCCAAGTCGAAGCACTCGAAGCAGATTACAAATTGATTCAATGGAAAGCGTGATTGCTTTGTTGAGAAAGGAAGTGGACTGCGTCAATGGACTGCCATGCGTCTTGATCTCCACCGATTCAATTGATTGAAGAACCCTTTCCCCTTCAGCTTCGTCTTTGAAAAAGCCTTTCCCCTTCACCTACGTCTTTCTACTCTATCTCTTCATAGACACTAGTGTTTTTTTTTTTTTTTTTTTGAACTGTATATCAGTCTGTTTGATAATAAAAAAATAAATTAAATATATGTTTTTTTTTTCAGTGGCGCCAGGGTTTTGGCACCTAAAATATTTTGGGCATATCATTTACGACACACATGGTAAGTCGTAAAAAGTGACTTATTTTTAACGATTGACATACGTGTGTCGTATATAACTGATGTATTAATGGTATGTTATATGTATGTCGTAGAAAGTTTTATTATTTACGACTAAATTTGCAAGTTGTAAAAAAATTATCATTTTTACCATTAATGACTTGCGCAATAGACACGCCGTGGTTAGCATATTATTTACAACATGTAAAAAAAGTAAGTCGTAAAAGTGAGAAATTACACCTTGCATTCATTGTATGCCGTTGATATGATGCCGTAAAAAGTCAATTTTGTTGTAGTGTTGGCATACTTGGCCTAAGAAAAAAAGTAGCCCTTGGGAGAAGAAGCTACCTCAACACCAAGAAAATACTGCAATGGGCCCAGATCCTTCATTTCAAAGGTGCGGAAAAGATGTTGCTTGACCTCAGATATAACAGAAAAGTCAGAACCAGTGATGATCATATCATCCACATACAATAATAATATAACAAATCCAACAGAGGTGCGGAGAAAAAATAAAGTAGAGTCCTAGGCACAAGAATGAAATCCAAACTCAGTAATAGCAGTCTGAAAGCGATCATATCAAGCACGAGGAGACTGCTTCAGACCATACAGAGTACACCGAAGGCGACAAACCTGTCCAGAGGAATGGTAAAGGCCAGAGGAATGACGCATATAAACCTCTTCAGTGAGATAGCCATTAAGAAAAGCATTCTTAACATCCATCTAATAAAGAGACCAAGAATGAACAGCAACGACAAAGATCAAAGTACGGACAGTAGTCATCTTAGCAACATGAGCAAAGGTCTCCTCGTAATCAATACCATACTCGTGTGAGAAACCTTTGGCAACTAGACGAGCTTTGAAGCGCTCAAGAGAACCATCAGAATGAGTCTTGACTTTGTAGATCAATTTGCAACAAACCATATTCTTACCAGTAAGCAAAGGAACCAACTCCCAAGTACTAGTTTTCTGTAAAGCAAACAACTCATCCTCCATAGTTTGAACCCAATGAGAATCCTGACAGGCCTCCTTGTAAGACTAAGGTTCTAAAAAAGAGTGAATAGTAGGAAAAAAAAGTATGGTAGGAAGCAAAAAAACATGTATTAGACCAACCCAACCTGTTTGGAGGACAATGCTCACGAAGAGGATCGTGGTGTGCAGCAAGATCAGAGTCTTCAGAAGCAGAAGGAGTAGCAACAGGAGTAGAGACAACTGGTGGCAATGGAGCTTTGCCAACAACGGATGTGAAGAAGTAGCCGAAAGAGAATAAGGAGCCATAGGTGACGTAGACGGAGAAGTGAGAATGGCCTCAGGAGGAATAGTGGCGATATATTCATCTGATGGGACCTTAGAAGGGAATAAGTCAATGTGAACCAAATCCTTTTTAGAAATGGGAGCAGTGAGAGGGAGAAGCTGAAAGTAAGACAGACGTTCAAGAAAGGCAACATGAAGGGAGATATAGAGGCGATGAGAGATAGGGTCGTAATAGCGGTAGCCTTTCTGAGTAAGACTGTAGCCCAAAAAGACACACAAGATAGATTGGGCACTGAGTTTGGTCCGATCTTTACGGGGGAAAGAGGACAAAACAAGCAGATCTAAAGACACGCATGAGGGAATAATTGGAAGGTTGGGAATACAAAGCCTTATAAGGGAATTGACTAGAGGGTAGAGGAGTCGGGATACGATTAAGGAGGAAAGCAGCGGTAAGAATTGCCTCACCCCAGAATGGTGCCAGAATAGAGGCAGAGAGAAGGAAAGATTAAGTTGTCTCAAGGAGATTACAGTTTTTAAGCTTAGCACGACCATTTTGGGCAGAGGTATCAATACATGAGGTTTGGTGAATGGTGCCCAATTTGGCCAAATACTCACAGAATTTAGTTTTAAAGTATTCTCCACCCAAGTCAGATCGGAGTATTTTAATTGTGGCCCTAAACTGTGTAGTGATCATAGACTGAAAAGTGGATATATCTGGTAGAAGTCAGATTTATGAGCCATAAGATAAACCCAGGTATAGCGGGTACAATCATCAACAAAGGCACATAGTACGCAGAACCCCTTTTAGTAAGAACAAGAGAAGGGCCCCAGACATCATTATGGACAAGAGAAAAAGGGGAAGCAGAAATATAAGTACTGTTATTAAAAGGTAAAGCTATCATTTTGGCAAGTTTACATACTCGACACTCATTAATTTGACTAGGAGAAACTTTACCTAACAATCCTGACTGAGCTAAAGATTGCAAACGGTCAACAGACAAATGACCTAAGCGAGAATGCCATAAATAGAACTAACTCGACTGAGAATCTAATTGAAAAGCTGAAAGAGCAACGGGAGAGCTAGACAAAGGAAAATGCATGCTTTCCACCACATAGAGATCTTCAATTATATGGTCGGTTCCCATCTGCTTCTTGGACAACCGATCCTGCACATAATAGACAAAAAAAGAAAAGATAACATCAAAACCAGAAGCATTAAGCTAACTGATAGAAAGCAAGCTAATAGACAGTTGAGGAACATAAAGAATAGAGAGAATAGTAATAGCATACATGACAGAGGGTAAAACAGACCCAATAGATAGAACTGACATACCAGACCCACTGGTAGTATTAATAGTAATACGAACGGGAGGGGTGATACAGTTTTGGAGTCAGGAAATGTGATGAGTCATATGATGAGAGGCACCAGAATAAAAAAGCTAGACAGAGGAAGAAATAACTGAAGATGACCCAAGCAAATCTGAATGAAGAGAGGTGAGAGCAAAGACAGATGAAGATGACTGAGAGGTAGACCAGAGATGTTAAAGTTGAGTAATTTGGGCACTCAAAGAAGCCAAGTCAGGATCAGAAGCCAGAGCATATGCAGTATAAGTAGCAGGAGGGCGAAAAGTACTCAGAGCAAGACCTCGAAATTGTGGCTGAGACGGTTGAGAAGACTGAGCAAACTGATGGCCCTTCTTGGGATAGTTGTACTTTCAATGGCCCTTCTGATGGCAAAAAGCACACTCATCAGAGGCTAGTGGCCCTTCTTGGGCATTGCAGTGGCCTGAAACTGATGAGGTGGAGGGTTCGACAGCAGAGAAGGCTGAGTACGAACCAAGAAGACAGATGGAGACATAGTTTGACTGCCCATCTTAAGACGGGTTTCCTCGGACTAGAGGTCACAAACAATAGCATCCACAAAGGGGAGAAGAAACCGATGAAGGATGCCACCACAGATAGCCTCACATTGACGGGAGAGAGCCATTAAGAATTGCACTAAATGACCTTACTTCTGAAAGTCGACATAAGTGCCTAGTACCTTGAGGCTAAATGGTTCTATGAGAGCCAACTGATCTCAGAGAGCAGTCATCTCAATGTAGCAATCCTGAAAAGATTGATCCTACTGACCAGCACTCTGAATAGCTATTTCCAACTCATACTGTTTGGAAAAGTTGGATTGTTGATACACACCCAATAAATAGTCCCACACCTTCTTAGTAATACTATATTTAAAACATCATTCCAATACGGTCGTCTATAGAATTATGAAACTAGGTCAGAACTTGGGCATTATCACAATCCCAAGTGTCGCAGGAAGTCAAATATCCTTCTTGTTTCGAGTCCAATGGATGATGAATAGAACTAGAAACATAGCCCTATTTTTTTTGACCAAGAAGGAAATTCTTCATAACACTGACCTAATAAGCATAATTGGCACCAGTGAGTTTACATCTGATGGCTTGAATTTTAGTGTCTGTCATTATAATAAACCAAAGATAAATGGGTCGAAGTATAATTATAACTAACAAATGGGCAAATAGGAAATAAGGGTTTATAACCAAATAACAGTGCAGATAGTCAAAGTGTCAAAGTGACAAACACAGAGAAAGAGAGAGAAACAAACAGGGTCAGACGACCAGATGAAATCAAGAGACCAGACGAAGCCGAAAAGAGAGGGAGAGAGGCTTCTGATTCTAAATCCTCTGTGATTATTAGGGTTTTGAAGTCTTTCTTTGATTCAGAGAGGAGACAGAAAGATCGCCAGTTCGAGAAGAGAGAGGGAGATCGTGAACCAGGTGCGAACTAGGGAGAGAATGGGTTTGCACAAGGTAGAAAACAGAGGGTCACGACCTGACCAGAGATGTCATGACTTCAGACCATGTTCAGAAGTATGTTACCACTTCGAAGAACCATAGAGAAGACCTTCGCGACACAGGTAGGGGTTCGACCAACAAGTTCAAATGAAACCCTAGCTCTGATACTATGTAAGTTTCTGAATGTTTCTATATATTCAACTTATTTGTTTACAAAGAGTTCATCAATTTATATAACCCTAAATCTATGACTGAAAAAGGAAATACAACAATCTTGCCTAATACGTACCTAATTCCTAATATACACAATGCCATATATACACAATATATTCTCACAGGAACATCATCAATAGGATTAAGACTGGATTCATGTTCAACAAACATTTGAAATAGTGGCACTTGTGTGTTATAATACTATCCATGAAAAAAAAACAATTGGCTTCAATTTTTGCCAAAGTAGGATGGTAAGCTAGCATTTTGCAGGTTTAAATGGAAATTCATAATCTCTTTGTTGGTGGGTGGTGAGGTTATAAAGATGCTGCAAAGGTTCCCATGGGAAGTGGCAGTTGTACTATGCAAATAGATTACTAATAGAGATGAGAGTAACTAAATGGCGATAATTAGATTACCTCATTAACTTGGAAGTACGTGCCATTGAGTGGAAAGCTTCCTCTCATTGCCGTTCCACATGGTATCTGCACATGAGGCAAGTATCAATAAACAGCTCCTAGTAGCCTTCAATGTTACTTTTAGCAACAATAATTGTGGTATGTATCCTAGGTTTGGATTTTCTCAC